CTGCTGTCAGGATTTCTACAAAGGGGAAATTCTCCCAAATACTCCCAAAGAAGTATTCACCTTTGCCTTGGAGGCCTGTGGAGGAAGCCCTCTGATATGTAGGTTGAGACCTCTGCAATCTAAAGGTCTTCTATCCTTTCATACCAGTTCTCCAAAAGGAGAGGCCTTCTGCTGGTGCTCATCAAGGGAAAAAAATGCCTCTCATGGCTCCTGTTGCAGCTCCAGTCATGATCTACAAGTACTGGGTTATAAGCTTTCTGCTAGATTTGGGACTTGTATAACTGGCTCTTTTCTTCCTGATACCCTCTGATACTCAGTCTATGAGAGGAAGGAAAAAGACTTACTTGGCTAGAAGAGCTTGATCCTTTGCTATCCTCAGCTGTACTGCCATGCCTTTGTTTGACTTTCAGCCCTGTCATCCTCACCTTTACTGCCCACCTTGTTTTTAAAGACATCTGTGGGTTTTTCTTCCTCCAGCCTCCTTCTCAGCCACCATGCATAGGAGGCATTTATTTGGAGAGAGTTGGAAGAAGTAAAGCCAACCCAAAGGATCTTGCGGCTCTGTCCACTACCTTACAAAAAAGGGACAGACACCCTGCAAAGGATCTGTAAGAATTTCTTTTATCAGTACGACGATTCAGGCTCATGCAATCCAGACAGAGATGCTGACGGGTAACAGACTGAACTTCATCCTTTTCCCTTTCCTGCTCCACCCTTCCCATGCTTCCACTGGCAGATTGAAAGAAATGGGCTAGTCACGGGTGGCCACTTTCCTAGCACAACTCAAGGCCAGCTACAGCTTTGTTTCAAAGCTCTTTCAGCAGACAATAGTTCTATTAACGGAGAAAGGTTTCATTTGCCAGCTCCCCAGAATACCAATCAAGTGGCTGGGTCACACATCTAAAGACAAAAGAAACAGGGTCCATTAGCAAAGCAAAAAAAAAAGCTCCTTCTTGAAAGAGCCAAGTACAAAAACAAGCCCCCCAGTTCTCCTCTGTTTTCTGTGAGCAAGTCTGCTTTGCCTGCTGTAGCTGGGCTCCAGCAAAGCTGTCAGAATTTTCCTTTAAGGCAAAAAGGAAAGGAATTTTCCCTGGTTATTTTTAGTACAGTCTTGCTGCTTCTCTGGAAGAAAGACTCATGTAACCCAGCTTAGACCTCCACCCACGGCTTTTCATGTTAAACTGATGGATATCTGAGCAAGACAGGCGAATCAGTACATATAGAAACTAAATGGGGAAAGCGGCAAGAATAGCCATGGGACTGTTTTTATCCTGGGCTCTGAACTGATCTGAAGAGGAAGACCCACAAAACCCAGCGAGTGGGTTTGTGCTGAATACAGGAGCACAAGTCTGGGTGTTCTAGCTCAACTTAAAAAAAAAAAAAAATGTAATTGCCACCTTCTCTGAAATCCTAGTTCACTGGAGGGAACCTAAAAGCTGTTATGATATCACAAATAGCAGAAGTCTTTTTGCAATCCACACAGAGTCCAGAATAGTTACAATATCATAAAAGTATGTCTCTGGAGATTCTTTGGGATATCACACAAGTACCTTCTGATTCACCTAAAGGGAAAGAGACTTTTTGAAAGATCAGTTAAGTCCGACTTTCTGCCAGATTCCAATGAGTGGGAGAGATCAAACAGCATTCTCCGCTTAGCGGATTGCATTTTGCTTTTCCATTCAAATATGGTACCGGGCTACGGGAGAAGACAGTGTCTTAGATCCCATCTAGGTTTTCTGATTGCTTATCATCACAGACCTACCAGTATTAAAATATGAATTGATCTTACTGGAATAAGTGAAACCAAATCAAGTTGCAAAAGAACTATGTCTGGCACTACAGCCTTTTGTCTGGACTCGAAGGGTTTCTTAGTCAGAAAGGGAGATGCACTTCAGAAAACAGCTTTTGCATGAATAATGAACTCAGTTCCTAAACCAAGAACGTGTGTGCTCCGTTATGCAAAGTGGTTTTGCAGCAGCGCTTTCTATTCCTTGGAGAACTAAATTAGACTAACAAAACAAGCAGTGTGCTCTGGACACCTGGGTGGACTTTAACATGAAGCACTGAGGAAAGGTAGTCCTTTAGCCACATTTTATGGGACAGAAACTAATGTAAATGCCTTCACTAAACTTTCCATGCAAAGGAAAGCAGTGTTCTCCACAGGGCTTAAAAATGCCATCTGCCAGCAGATAAGCAGCTGATGAACAGACTCTCTTACTGGGCAAGAACATGCTGGTCTTACCCTTGCCACCCCCTCCTCTTCACTATGTTTCATCCACCCTTCAGATTTAGTACAAATCTAAGCTGTGAACTTTCTGGATGAGGAAGTGTCCGTCTACATGTACAGATGGCATCTAGGATCTGGGCCTGTTTGTGGTAGGTCTCAGGGTGGTACTGCTGTAGTATAAAATGAAGCCTATGAAAAGACAGCCCTTACCTTCTGGCTTTGATTCCCCCCCCCCTTAATAATAAAAGATAATTTAGGCAAGGTTCTTTGAGTAGATGTGATATCTTTTATTAGATCAAATGAGTAGTTGGAAAAGTTTTTAGCAAGCTTTTGGGCACAGTCACCCCTCATCAGGCATAGGGAGTCTCTGCTGGTAAAGCTTGCCAAGAACTTTATTCCAACTACTCAGTTGGTCTAATAAAAGATGATATAATCTACTCAAAAAACCTGGCCTGCCTCTGTCCTTAGACCAACATGGTTACAACCAACAACCCAGCAAAAGTTAGTTTAGTAGCTTTACCTCCCAGATGTCCCCCAAACGCCAATCCTTGAAAGGCTACACTTATACACACTTTTTTTTCCAGGAATTTCAGGAGGCATTGCCAATTTTCAGAAATCAAGAAACAGTCCCTAGTTAACTGCCAGAATACCTGAAACCAAGACAAACCCTCTCCACAAGACAAGAAAGTGCTAAAGTTGGTCTGCTCAGAAACAAGTGTGTTCACTGCAATTACTGGAACTGCATTTGCCATTTAATGGTGGGAAAAGGAAAGCAATTTCCCTGCACTACACTCCGACTGTCTCCCCCAAACTCAAGACTCTCTGCAGCATACTATGACAACGCAGGATCGATGCCAGGTTGTTTCAGATCCTTGCACTTGTGCCAAATTATCTGTGATAAGCCGTGGTGGAGAATACAGTGGGAACACAGGTGCCCCCATCTTGCAAGCACTGCAGTGGTTTCAGTGGTAATAGTAGCGTGGGCAGTTCATTGGTTCCTAGGTTTAACATCCTATCACCGGAATAATTATATTAAATATTCAACACCCCCCCCCAGTCCAATATTGGCTACTTAAGCTACACATGTGAAAAAAAGTGCATCACCACACAGTGCCTGAATGCTATGGGCCATTATATGAAGAGCATTATTGTCTCAGTTATAAAGTACATGAACAGAGATTTGGACATAAAATGTGCAAAAAGTTATAATATGGGCCCAAAAATATTGTGAGTTTAAAGACATATTAAAGTTTTCTTGGCTGAATTCCTGAGTTTTCCAAGTACTTGCTCCATGTTAATGTTTCTCTCTACAATCTAGGGAGAAAAAAAAAAAAAAAAAAAAGGGGACCCCCCTACCCAGTCCCCAGTTTGCAGAAGCTGAAGTTTTAAGAAAA